ATGATTATCAGAGTCAAACAGCTGTGCGACCCACAACAAAGAAGTGATAGCAAACCGGTTTCCGAGCGGCTATTATTGTAAAATATAAATGATTCACAACAAACTTTCATGTACAATGATCCATCAGATGAAAAAACAATCACCTATTCACTCAAATTTGAAACTGTACTGTAACGGTTGTAACGGTTTTTTTTGAAATTTGAAAAATAAAGATAAAATACTGGAAGTGGAATAGCTAGGAACTTGGAACGATACACAAATATGCTTATCTTTATCCACAAGGCGGACTATGAATGTTCCCACGAAGCAACTTGAAGACTTGGCGGTTTCGACCTACGTAGCCGACCCTTGACCACCCGTCGACGTGAAAACTCGGGAACCAGTAGACGTCCTCTCCTTGTCCGTTCTAAGGTCACTCCGACCAAACTTGTCTGCCGTTGAACGCAGCTCACAATGACACGACGCTTTTGAATATTTTTTCGAGTTCAAAGTTCACCAACGTCGCCCGTACTGCGCCCGCGCAACCGTCTTCTTTTGTAAATAACGTTACGCGGATTTGATTGACGGCTCGAAGACCAATGTTTAGGCTTCTTCTTTGGTTAAAGAAAAGATATAGGTGGACTGTATAACAATATAATAAAAATGAAGGCAGTACAATGTTGGTTAACTTAAGCACGCGCGTCGCTCGTCGTTCGGTAGTGGAGTGAGTTAGAGACAGCTCGCGACCGTCGCCGTCGGTCACACCGCCCCTCCGCGCGCCTTCCTGCGAGGGGCACGATTCATGCGCTGGGTGCGTGAACACTGATCATGTTCGGAAATCGGTTCCAGTCCACCCCACGCTCTCGGTACCTCACCGGAGTTCCGACCAGCGGTTCCGCAATTAGGCGGTGATCCGACTCGATAGCATCCTCCATAACTCTCCAGTCCTCCGTCCTCGCACCCCGCGTCGAAATGGTCACGTCTATATTTGACTCCCCATTCTCCGAAGAAAAGGTATGCGGTTGTCCCGCCTTATTGTGCACTAGGAGGTCTCTGCTCAAAATTAGCGCCTCCATCTCCTCGCGACGCCGGCGGGCCTCCCGCCCTCTTCCCGACAGGTGCCGTTGGTCAGAGTACCACATTGGTGTGTGAGCGTTGGTGTCCACGCTTATTGAAATGTCCTACACTGTAATATATATATTGGTCAAATAAATAAATTATTATTATTATTATTATTAATTATTATTATTATTATTGGCACTGCCTCACCGCGCAGCACATCCAAGATTCTTTCCAGGCGGTGAATGTGCCCCGATATATTTTCCGCGTATTGGAAGTATGCGCTCACCAGGTAAGCACCCCTACGACCCCAAGCTATGTGGCACACCACGCAGTGGCTGTTGCTCAGGTATGCATATCTAACATCCAACGCCGGTACATATATGCCAGACTTAGGTGATCTTCCTGTTTTTTTTTTTTAACGTGTGGAAATCCCCTCGGACCGTCACCCCGCCGGGGCTCTTGTTCGGCGGGGCGGTGTGTCGGACTCGAACCGACTAAAACCACACGGTGTGCCCTCTTTGGGCTTTCAGTTTAGGAGGGGTCCAGGTAGTTATCGCCTTCTGGACCCCAGCCAGCGCCGGCCCGCTCCTGTTGCGGGCTCCGTCTCAAAATTTTTCCTCTCTTTAGGCGACGTCCGGCACACGCGGACGCCGCCCCCTCGCGGCTGGCCAAACTAATGCGGGTGGAGGGGAGAACCCATCCCGTCCACCCGTGGCCACACTCAGGGCGGCATGAGGCGCAGGTGAGCGCGCCTCCTCCGCCCGGTTCACCGGCGGCGGATCGGGTCCGAGTGGAGGTCGTCCTCCCGGGCCTTCTCCGTCGCCTCCTTCTGCGAGATTACTCCGCCCGGAAGTTAGCCACTCGCCGATACACTTCGGCGAGCACTTCCGCCTCCAAATCCCACGGGGGTGTTCCAGCCAAGGCGCAAGCCGCCTCGGTGGACACCGTGCGGTATCCGCGTATGGCTCTGACCGCCAATACCCTCTGGGGGCGCCAGAGGCGCGCCCTATTCGGGGCAGTCAGAGCCGAAACCCACACCGGTGCACCATACAGCGCCATGGACCGGACAAACCCCGCGTACAGCCGCCTCGTGGGAACAACGTGGCCCCGCCCAAATTGGGCAAAAGTCGCCCTAGGGCGGAGGCAGTGTCCACCAGCTTCGGACCAAGCTGTCGGAAGTGCTCGTCGAAGAGCCACCTACCGCCTACAGCCGCCACCTACAGCCGCCTACCGTCTAGGACTAGACCCAGGTACCTCATCTGGGCCCGGACCGGTACGAGGACCGAGCCGACCTCGATTGAGGCGCCGGCGGGTGGACCACGACGGGGCCCAAGAAATAATAGGGCCTCCTTCTTATCCAGGGCCACCCGCAATCCCAACGACTCAATGCGCCCGACCACCTGGGAAACTCCCGTGGCCGCCAGGCGCGCCGCCTCCTGGAAGTTTGCCCCCCGGGCCGTGAGTAAGGTGTCATCCGCGTAGCAGATTACACCCAGCCGGGGGGGAGACGCCCTCGTAGGGCCCAGTCGTACCCGATGTTCCACAGGAGAGGTCCTAGGACAGACCCCTGCGGAACACCGCACGACATGGCCCTGCGTCTCAAGACGCCATCTCGGTCCTCGTACATGAGGGTTCGCTTCTCAAGATAGTCTGCCACCAGCCGCCTCAGGTACTCTGGCACTCCGTGGTAGCGGAGCGCTTCCCTGATGCAGCTGAATGGCAGACTATTGAAGGCGTTGGCGATGTCCAAGGACACCGCCAACACCTCTCTGAGGTGGTTCGACATGTAGTCGAGGGCGGGCGGAACATCAACCTCGCTGCCCCCGTCGTCTCCGGCTGATGCAGCCATCGACGGGGGTGTGTGCTCCGCCCGCTGCGGGAATAGGCCCTCGACCACTTCCTCCAGGAAGCTGGGCTGGAGAGTCTCCGTAAAGGGGGGGCCCGACGTGCGGAGCTTTTGACGCACCGCACGATAAGGGCGACCCCTAGGGTCACGCTCGAGACTCTCCAGCATCTCCTCTCTACTCACATCCTTGGCGCGGCAGATGGCCAGCCTCAGCCTCCCCTGTTCAGTAAACAGAGGCCCACCGACGCCGCCCACTCCTCGACGGCTTCGCCCCCGGCGTCCGTCGCAGGGGAGCAACACGCAATGGACTTTGCGTTGAAGTCCCCCAGCACGAGGACGTGCCCAGACACTAGTCGCCGCATCGAGGCCTCCAAGTTGTTAAGGAAGACCTCGAAGTCGTTCAAACTCCGGTTGGGGGAGAAATATACGCCATAAATGGTGATTCCCCCCCAATCGGCGGCAACATATCCAGTACCCTTGTCTCTTAGCGACAAGAGCGGGGAATGAGCCGCCGTGGAGCCGACGACTGCCACGGAGCCGTCCCGGTCACCCATCCAGTTTGGACGGGGAGGGACAAAATAGGGCTCCGCGACTACGGCAACACCTATCGACCACTGTGCCATGGTTTGCAGGAAGAGATTCTGCGCCGCGGCACAGTGGTTGAGATTCGTCTGGACCAGGAGGTTGGAGACTTGATCCATTATTGGGACTAATCCCACCTACACGCCCACCGCTGTAACTCCTGTACACCAGGATCCACAGCAGTGACCCACGAACACACCGAGTTATGACACTCGGGAAGTCCCAGGAAGAAATTAAACTGTCTTGGAACCCGCAACGAAATTAATCAGAAGAAAAATTGGAGGAGTTGGAAATACAATAAATCCACTTCCCTCCTCAGCAAAGCGGGAGACAAAATGAAGTAAAAAGGGCATACACCCTTTTAAACAGGGAAGCACCACGGCCACAAATATTACGGGTCCTACGTGAGCTATGTTTGATTTCTATAATATGTATGGCAGAATCGCCTAAACGCACGGAAATTCACCCTAGTTGACACAAGATTCCCATAGTATACCTCCCCAGATGTCACCTGCAAGCTATTCAGCATTATATTACGTTCATTATACCAAAGACTACATTCCCAGAGGATATGATGAGCAGACTGTTCATAGTGAGAGTTAGGTGTTGAGCATTGACACAATGGTGACTCGACTAATTGAAATGAATAAAGCTTGCTCTTAAAGTTACCATGACCCGTAAGAAATTGAGCGACACAGTGTTCCACTTCAAGCCATATCCTCGGCAACCGTTCGCGAACAAATGGAAAGAATTGGTAAAGATGGCGCCCCTTGGATGATTCATCCCAGCGTTGTTGCCATTCGTCTATGAGGTCGTTATAGACATCGGGCTGCTGTTGAAGCAATCTTGTAATTTTACCGCGATCCCGCGCGCCCAAAAAATCGCATTCCATGTTTTGTTGTCTTGAATAGTACATGGCTGCACTGTCTCTGCACCTCGAGATCGACCGGAAGCACACCCGCCAACACCGGCAAAGCCTCAGTGCTAACCGTCCTATATGCCTTACACAAGAATATCAGTGCAAGTCGTTGGCCTTGTAACAGTTTGCGACGGACAGCGCCTACGGTCGCCCTATCGGCCCATACAGGTGCACCATAGCACATAGAACCTAAATAAGTAGCTCCGTATATGATCTTTAATGTATTAAATGATAGACCCCATGTCGTAGTTGATATCCTTGTCAATGCACAGAAACTCTTTTTAGACTTTTCATTAACTATTTTAATATGTTCGATAAATGAAAAGTTTCTTTCTAAAACTAATCTTAGATAACACACTGTGGTTTTATTTTTTACAGTAACATTGTCAAATCTAATGTTTGGCGGTGATTTGAGGTTACCTTTTAAAAGTAGCTGGAAGGTTTTGTTGGGTGCAAAAGTTAAGCGATTACGTTCACCCCATTGAGATATCAAGTTCAAACATCTGTTGGCTAATCTCTCAAGCCCCGCCCTAGTATCAGATTCCACCAGTAATAATCCGTCATCAGCATACGCGTTCAGAGTACATCCGGATGGTATTGGTATCGCAAGAAAATCGTCGAAGCCGATATTCCACAAGTATGGACCTAGCACTGATCCCTGAGGACATCCCATTGTAAGCGCCTTCGACACAGAATGATGACCAAGTCTTAGTTTAGTTGTACCTTGTGAAAAGTACGAAGATATAAGGGAATAAATATTTTTAACCCGGATTTTAATTCAGCAACAGCAATGGGCCACCATGCGTTGATCGAAGGCGCCAGATATATCTAAGAAAATAGCCAGCACGTATTGAAATTTTGACCTCTGTGACAAACTTTCTAACCGATATAACAGCGTCAGTTGTCGATTTACCCTAACGTAAATCCAAATTGTACTATCATGAAATTTGACTCCACCTGGCAGAAGCCGGGGCACTACAAGACGTTCTAAAAGCTTTCCTAACGATGGTAACAATGTGATTGGTCGGTAGGATTTAGGATCATCCGGTGGCTTGTCGCCACTTTTTGGTATTATACGAATATTACCGCAACGCCAAGTACGAGGAAATATTCCTTCAGCAATGCAACTTTTAAGACAGTGAAAATCGTGTCACCCGAAAGTTTACAAGCTTCTTTTATCATTTTGTTAGATATTTTATCATCGCCCGAAGCCTTGTTTAGCGGCAAGGATCTAATGATACCGAGAAATTCGTCTGAAGATGGTAAATCAGACATTGGAGATAGTGGTGGTTCGATGGCCCACTGCCTGATCTGTCGGTGATGATCAGTGTCGTTTTCCGGTCTATCCTCAGGTCCGAGTGATTCTAAAAGATATTCTGCTGTTTCTTCTACTCCTGTGGTATATCTGTCATTAATTTTGATGTTCTGTATGTATGCAAGGTCGATTGGGTGGTGAGGTGAGGCCATCTGTCACCCTAGCAGAAGCAGGCCGGGGTGGCGGCGAGCGCGTTGCGAAGCGCGCTCGCTTCCAGAGAGCAGAGGGAACATGGGGTTCCCACACGGGGGGGGGGGGGGTCGTCTACTTGTCTGTAGATGGCCCGAGGTATGTCGGGGCACCAGGGAATTCCTTTCTAGGGTATACCTTGTTCCCCGGCTATTAGTACCCGAGACAGCGTGCGGTTTTAGTCAGTTCGAGTCCGACATGCCACCGACAGGTGGTATCCGAGGGGATT